AGTAGGAAAGGGGAAATCATCATAGATGCTGGGTCCGAGAGAGGGGAAAGCGCGTCATCGGGGTCCATAATAGAGAAGAAGGATTCGTTCTTTCTCTCTCTTATCCGTTGCGCTCTAACCTATTGTCCTCTCTCTCTCTCTCTCTCTTCTCTCCTTTCCTCTCTTTCCTCCTCCCTCTCTCTCTCTCCTATCCATTGTCCTTTCTGTCCCGCTCGTTGTAATACTTATTATTTACGCTCTTTCTTCCTCCCAAGTTATGTTCTCTCTCACGTCATTGTTTCTTCTTTCACACGATTTTATTGAATAGATACGATAAATATATTATGAATTTTTAATGGTGCGACTTAGTAAACATAATTATAATAATATTTTTATGAATCTTTAGTAATATAATCTAGTAACAATAATTATAATATTTTTTTTTATAAATGTAATACAAATGGTGAAGCGCGCTTTCTTATTAACTAATTCAATACTACTACGAAGATATGAAGAAATGGCAAAGATAATAGAGAATAAAATAATTTTAAAAGAAAAGAATATATTTTTTAACATACATTTATTATGTAATGCAGTATGTACAATATAATCTAAACCATAGACTATTAGTTCACATTCTATAATAGAATTTTTATTAGAAATTTTGTATAAAGTGTTTGTAGCATCGCTTTTATTAATAATATAATTTTGTCTTAAAAATGACACAAAATATTCGAATTGACGCGCGTATTTTGACTCAGTTCATAGAATACATGTTCAACATTGCTAAAGCTGAAATAAGAAAAGTACAGTTGTTGATTTCATTTATAAACATGTGCCATTTAATGTTAACTTCACATTATTCGTATCATATATTTTAACAAGTTCCACATTTAGATCTTGAATCGGTGATGCTGATCGGATTGTTGACTGCATTAATATATTACTCGATATCTGCCTCTCAATGAACGTCTTCCGTAGCATGAGATATGAACATGTGATTGCCTCGATCACAAATCGCAATTTGCACATGAGATATAGATCCTACAACGATCACAATGTCTAGAAATTAAATTGTCGATGTCAATGTCATATTTTCTCATCAAGATACGAGACATGTAGCGAGGTTTCGAAGATGCAT